CTTCCCTTCCCTTCCCTTCCCTTCCCTTCCCTTCCCTTCCTTTTTTTTTTCACATTACACTGTCTATACTTCAGCATTTTCATTCTGATTTGTACAGTTTTAAGTCCGAATTTTTAAACATACTTGCTTTTTTTCAATTCTTCCAACGGGTTCTTTGGCCTCCACTTATATGATCCTCCAGACTTGTGGTAAAGATGGTAGAGAACAGCTGATACCACAGCATAGTATTTTCAGCATAGTGCATCTGTAACCAGACTAAAGAGCAAGGCATTATTCACAAGGAGGTGAGGTTATATTTGCTGCTGCTAAGATTTAGCTGTTCAGTTTTAACACTGGATGCCTGGGTTTCTTTTTCTGGAGTGCTTGTTTACTCTTGTATATTTTTATAGAGTGAAAGGGTGGTGGGGAGAATGAGGGTGTTATGTGCAGTAAAGTTATAAATAACATTGGCTCAGGTTATTTGCATTATATCTACTTGCCTGAATGCGTAAAGTTAAACAAAAATGTCTTATAAAAAACACAAAAATGGGCAGAACAATGCCATGGATAAGAGGTCTAAAGGCAATGCTACAGAATGTGTTTATTGGGGAGTATTTCTTACCTAGCTAATAAGCCAGACAGAAAATTGCTTACTCCTCCCACAGCCTCAAACAGATCAAACAGAATATTAAAGCCTTAAAGATGCTGATGTGAGGAAGAAGGAGGGTTACTCAGCACCCACCGCACTAACTGACAGAAAATGGGGAGCATGCTGAGAACAGAGCTATATTCCCAACCCAGACACAGTGATCCTGACGTGCATGACATGATGAAATGCAGCTGTTGTGGAGCAGGGCAAGCACACACATAGGGGTTTTTGCTGTTGTCTTTTTGCCCTGTGTGCTGTTGACTTGGGGACAACTAGGCAAGAAGTGCCCACTGTTGGGCTGCATTTCAGTCACTGTGGTGGCATTTGATTCAATAATGAGACATTGATAATGTTGCAGACTCCTGAACAAACAAGAGTGGGACAGGGATCCAAGGGAGAGTGGCTGCAATTTCTTCAATGACCTGTGGATGCTTACACAGAACAGATGCCAAGGTTTAGTCTTGCAGTGCTGAAACTGGAAAGAAGGCAGACTCTAATTTCAGGCAAGGCAGGACTGAGCCCTGAGGAAGCAATGCTGTCATTGTGAGGGCTGTCTGAAAGATTTCAGAATATGTCTATGCCTTGAGTTTTTTGGTGCTGGAATCTAATTTCTGAAGTGTAATAACACCAGTGCATCCTTGTAATTTTATTGCATTTTTTATTACGGATATCATCTACAATAACCCTGCTGTCATATCAGCCTCTGCTATGGTTTCAGCAGTCTCTGTCTCTCCATCTAAGATGATGAAAGTGAAGTTGGACCACAGCATACACATTAGGCTTTCTTTCTTCCTTTGTTTCCTTTCTCCAAAATGCTGGTCGAGTCAGTGGAATTCTCCTGGCTTGTTCTTTCCTAGCATTCGTCCTCAAAGGTACACAGCATCCAGTTAAGCTTTTCTTGGAGCAGAAGGAATTAAAAAACATCCTTGATGGAGCTGATTCCTTGATGAAGCAGAGATCATGAGGGACACTGTGTCCTACTCATTTTTCCTGTCCTTCCTGGATTGCTTATTTGTATCCAATATCAAAGTCTTGAATTCCTGCATGGCAGATAAGCCTTTGGAGCTCAAAATTCAGATTCTGGAGGGCCTTGAGGCAAGAAGAATCCTTGACAGGCTTCTAGAATAGCAGGGCATGTTTTGGTTTCCAGAAGCCATGCAGGAACAGCCGTGAATCTGCACGGGTGCCTGGCAAATCTGCAAAGGAGAGCAGAGCAATACTGAAGACAGCAAAATGCTGTGAGCAGAAATGGAGTGGCCCAGGGCTGGGATTCAAGCATGAACTGCTGAGTGCTCCAGCAGCAAACCTCTGCTAGACCAATTGGTCCCATATGCCAGAGGACTTTGATTTGTGGCGGGGTTTCACAGTGATTTGAGGCTTGTGTCTCTGATAAATTCTACTGGAAACAGAGCTTCAGCCGTGAATCAGTTACAGACGCAGTTAGTTAATTCTGTGATATATTTAAATAACACTTTACATCTGGACTTTGCAACCAACTTTTAATCCTCATTTAAAAACAATAGTGAAGTATCAGAGAGTCAAGATGTAGTCCACCAGTTTATTTGGTTTTGGGGTTTTTTGGTTTCTTTTTTTTTTGCCGTAAGGGCTAATGTTTCAGCAATATTCTAGCATGGAGAATGTATTAGAAAAGTAATGAGTAACTGGAAAAAAATACATCTGCAAATTAACAAAGATTTCTGTTGTTTACCTATTTATTGAGAGAGAGCTGGAGCCACCATGTTGCAAAATCTATGTGGAAATACTACACAGTCTGTTCAGGAGGAGCAAGAAGTATTAATTCTAAAGTCTTCCACCAAGTGGACAGAACAGTGCTGGATGAAGATCAGTGGTGAATAAAGAATGATGGAGTGTGAACAGTCAGTCCTGACAGATCCAGAAGAGATTAGTATGAGAGATCAGTGGGGACACTTGACCAAATTACAACAGCCAAAACCTAACTGTGATATTAGGTTGCACATTGTTCAAGACTGCTAAGAAGCTGAGTAACTGAGAGGATATTGTACAGCTTTTCGTATGAAGCTGTGCCTGTGGTCTCAGCGAGAACACAGTGCACAATTTGGCCTCCCAACCTCAAAAAGGATGTGACTGAAATAGGGGGATTGGAAGAAGGGTGACAAGAACATTCTAGAGCCCGAGAAAGCTCCTGCCAGAAGAAGGACCAAAAATACAGCCTTAGGACATAGAAAAGAGGAGAAATGATGTAAGTAGGAAGGATACTGCTTATGTTGGAGGTGAGAGGTCAGGAACTTAGTCTCTTCTCATCCCATAGCCTTGGCCCACAGGGATTCAGGATGAAACCCTACAGTGGTTCAAAAAGATAGCAATTATGACTAACTTGGAAGGTGATATTAACAGTTCAGTCCTAAAGTTAAGACCTCAACTTTAAGATTTTAAGATGGGTAAAAGACAGGACTTTGTCTTTTAATGGCATGAATAACTTTTACAAAGTCCTGACTTTGTCAGGACTACCTGACAGCTGTAGTCCTACAAAAGCCAAACTCCCAACAAATGTGCCTTGTCAGAAGGTTTGTTACTTAGTTTCTTCATGCTCCAGTTTTCAGAATGCTACTTGAATTTTTCATGATTAATTCCTCTTCTGAAATCCTGTTTACATTCTATAAGAGAAGTCAGTAATACAATGTACTGTGCTCATTTAAAAAAAAATGCCTTTGAGAGAGATGTCTAGTGGTGGTGCTGATACAGTGTAATTCAGCTACTGTGCAACTTTAAAAATCTCTTTTATAATATGTAGTATCTCATTAGTCTAGTTGGCATGCCTTGGGAAAAAGCAGTGGCCTAAAGCCACTTACTCAGGTGTACATGAAAGAAATGTGTGTATCTGGGTGTGTGCAGGCACAAATGAATTATAGTGAAGTGTGATAAGGGATTGGTCAATAGGATGCAAACAAGAATAACAAGGTGGTTTTTTTTGTAGTGGCTTTCATGACATCCTTCTTTCAGGGTTGTACACAGATGGCTCTTTCACAGTAGATCCTAGTTCCTTTCACAGTATTAGAAAGTTGCCTTTTGCTTTGAGAGATTTTTCCTTGAAGCAAAATCATAATTTTTTAACTTCCTTTCCCTTTCCTTTCACTCTGCTACTGCTCAGGGTCAACACATTCGTTGTGCCATAGCAGTGTATGAGTTAAATTTTCCTGAAGGCATGATGTGGCTCTAAGTAATGTATCTCTTGATGATGAACTTGCTGGTGAGCATAGAATGCATGGCCTTAGATAGTTTTGCACTTCTTGGAGCACAGAAATTAATCTAAACATCTGTGTGCCCTCTGTATTGATTTGAAGCATATGGAGACATTGAACAGCTGATCTCCAAAACAGTCTGTTATATGAAGCCATCCTTTTGTTTAGCTTGCCTTGAACAACTTTCAAGACATTACGTATTTTTTTTAAATAAGATGAACAAATATTCTGAAGCCTGAGTCTTCCCTCTGACAGAAAGATTTTTCTTTTTTTTTTTTTAAAGAAACATGAATAAATTTGTTAGATTTTTTAATATAAATATTGTTAAGGACTCTCGGAGTTATAAAGAGAGAAATGTTTATTTTAGAATTGTATATTTTTCCTGATAGAGATCATTACATTAAAAGTAGTAAATTATTAATTTTCCCCCTTTCTCCATTTTATTACAGCTTTCATTTCTAGGTGGCTGGAATGATTAATGGAATGTGCTGGGCTAATGCCTTCTGTTTGGGTACACAAATGATAGAAGCAGCTTTCTGCAAAGCTTTTAGTGTTGGTGCAAGATTGGAAGATATTTTGCAGGCAGTGGATTGGCCATGGCACTTCCACTTCCCTCAATTTAGCCATAAATCAATTGTGAATGATTCTCCCACAGTAATTTTTCATACAGTTTGAACCTGGG